TCCTCCTCATCAGAATTCTCCTCCTCATCATCATCAGCAACATCATCATCATCGTCGTCATCATTATCCTCCTCATCAGCATCACCGTCATCATCATCATCATCATCAGCAGCAGCAGCATCATCAGCATCATCATCATCATCATTGTCATCGTCAGCAGCATCAGCATCAGCATCAGCAGCAGCATCATCAGCAGCAGCATGTCAAGATCAACATCAGCACCAGCATCAGCATCATCATCATCATCATCATCATCCTCATCGTCATTATCATCAGCAGCAACGACATCATCATCACCAGCATCATCAGCATCATCAGCAGCATCATCCTCGACATCACCCATCATTAGTAGCATCATCGTCATCATCATCAACATCAACATCACCATCATCAACATCGTCATAATCATCAGCATCATCATCATCAGCAGCATCATCATCACATCCTCATCATCATCATCATCATCATCGTCGAGATCGTCATCGACATCGTCATCGCCGTCGTCATCATCATCGTCGTCATCAGCATCGTCGTCGTCTTCGACATCGTTATGGTCATAAGCACCAGCACACTCATCATCCTAATCCTCAGCATCATCATCATAATCAGCATCGTCATCCTCATCCTCATCCTCCCCATCATCATCATAATAATCAGAATAATCATCATCATCGTCATCATCATCATCCGCCCCATGTAGTTGTCCCATCATTCATGTTCACCCATTCCACGTACTCATAAATACCTCCTCGCCGTACCGCATCACCAGACGTGCTGGTAAGGCTGCCTGTGCGTTTCGCCTGAGACTTTCTCGCAACATGTTGCAGGCATTCCAAGCAAACAAATCTGGTCAAAATCAGAGGTTCTCACTGCATGCTCCATAGCTCTTGCCCCACCCACCCACCTGGGCGCCCCACCCCCAAACAACCCTCCGCCGTGCCCACTCCCCACCCACCCACCCGAGTCCCGCCCCCTCACTCCACCCCACCCCACCACTCCCCCAGGCGCCCGAGCGGTGGCGGATTCGCGAAGCAGCGCAGCCAGACAACAATCTTCAACACGGACGGAGAGCGGGGTGGCTCACCAACCATCCATTTCAGACTTCCTCACACACTGTAACGAACGAGCTTGGAGGTCCCAGTGGCTCCACGGATGAACGGCGGATCGTTTTCAAGATCTGGCCTTCGCCTGCGGGCTTCGCTGCATTCCCTGCTTCTGCAACCGAAACATGCAACCATTGCACAGCCGGATCGCGATCACCTTCAACTGTGACTTACGCCTCCTACTTCCCTGACAGCTGATCGGCAGACGGCGGTCGCGTACAAGCGTTAGCCTCGCCCAGGGAACGCCCACACACTGTGCTCGTAAACCTCGGGATCTCTAACAGAAGCACCTACCGAGAAGCAGTTTCAAAAGCGAGTTGCACTGAGGGCAATCACCTGCGACTTTCGCATATCGCATGACCCTAGTTAAGTTGAACATTTCCGACACACCGATAAGAACGTGCCGATGTCAACAGTGATCTGTCGCTCGAGTCCTATGGACAGCGTATGGCCATGAAGTTTCATACTCAACAGCCACTATGACTTGGAAGCTGGGCGAGAGGCTGGCAAATTCGCGGCTGCTAAAACGGTCTTCCCCGAAGAAAAAAACGAATTCCCGGAATCAAGCTCAGCGCACCAAATAGTAAACGGGCTGCTTCCCGGAAGAAAAACAAAAAAATCCCGGAGATCCGTTTCAGCAGCCACGGGTTTGCCAGCCTTCGCCCGGCTTCTGAACGACACAGGCTGGTTTATGAAACCCTTCTCTCGCCAGAGTTCCTCACGGTTTCTTTGAAGGGACCCTGGGACACACAAATAAATAGACACAAATAACAGGATTCCCCATATCTTCTTGTATTTTCTGGGGTTTTGTCTTCCCCCCACTTCCCATATTATCCCATATTTTCTGGGGAATCGACGATTCATTGTGTCTGTGTGTTTTTTTCCCTCCTGTTTCTTGTCAGAGAGCACGAAGCTCCGACGGCTCCACGCGTGGAGGCTGGCTCCTGTTCAGGACACGTGCTCCAGCCTCGGCGCCGCGCACGTGTGCTGCGTAAAGTTTCTGCAGACCGAAGGGGCCCGCCGACACACAAATAAATGCACACAAAGAAAAGGACTCCCCATATTTTCCCATATCTTGTGGGTTTCTGTCTTCCCCCCCCTGCCCATATATCCCCATATTGTCTGGGGAATTGACGATGAATTGTGTCTGTGTGTTTTCTCCTCCTGAAATCTACCTAGACGGGCCGATGCCATGCTAAACTCGCTGGGTGGTGTGGTGCTACGCTGTGCGGTCGAGCCGTACTGTGATCACTGCTGCGCATTGCACTCTAGTGATCCTGATCTTCGACCAGACACCCAGCGAAATCCAAGGGTGCGCCCCAACGAACCCCTGGTGCCCAAGGACGACGGCTCAGAAGCTAGTCTACCCGGCCCCAAAGGGAAGGAAGAGAAGGAGGTCATGCGCGGCGGTGCTCTCCAGGTCCGTTCGCCGCTGCCCTTGGGCAGGCCCTCCTGCAGCGGCGGTGGGCGACTCGACTCGCCTCGTCGTTTTGTCCCCCGCCCTTGCCCGTCTGCTCCGTGTCTACCGCCGCCTCTCAAGCCTTGCCTCGTGGTGCCCCCCAATCCTTATAATTCTCGTCCAACGCCTCCCTCATTTTCTTCTGCCCGTTCCTCGTTCGTCATTATCCTCCTTCCTCCTGCTCTTCCCTCCTCACCCTCACTCCTCCTCGTCCTCATTCCGCGACTAAGGAGGGAGAAGGGGGAAGGAGAAGGAGACAGAAGAAGAAAGGAGGGGAACGAGGCTCCGGCAAGGAGAGGGCGCTCAACATTCCCGCCAGCTGAGATGGAGCCCTGTACTGCAACGGGTCTGAAACTTGACCTCGTTCCTGCTGCCTTGCTGGACTGGCACGGTGGCAAGGTTTGCTGCAGGCAGCTGGATATCACCCTCCTGCCCCTCCGCTTCCTACCCTCGTCCCCTCCTCCAATGTCCCTCCAAGAAAATCTGGGCGCTATCATGTTCCTCCTCGTCACTGTCCTCGTCTTCGTCCTCCTCCTCCTCCTCCTCATCCTCATCATCATCACCACCACCACCATGGTCATGATCATGATCAGCATCATCATCATCATCATCATCATCATCATCATCATCATCATCATCATCATCATCATCATCATCATCATCATCATCATCATCATCATCATCATCATCATCATCATCATCATCATCATCATCATCATCATCATCATCATCATCATCATCATCATCATCATCATCATCATCATCATCATCATCATCATCATCATCATCAGCAGCAGCAGCAGCAGAATCAGCAGAATAATCACCACCATCACCACCACCATCATCATAATCATCCCATTATTACTAGTTGTAGTATTACTACTGCTGTTATCTTTCGTTTTCTTACTAGTATTAAAAATATGACTCTTATGATTAATAGTATGATTTTTATTGTTGTGATTCTCATTAATAAGACTATGATTAGTATGATCAGTGGTCTTATCATTTTTATTATTGTTATTACTATTATGAATTATCGTCATCATCATCATCATCATCATCATCATCATCATCATCATCGTCATCATCATCATCATCATAATCATCATCGTCATCATCATCATCATCATCATCATCATCATCATCATCATCATCATCGTGATCGTCATCACCATCATCTCAGAATCACCAGCATAATCAGCATCGTCAGCATCATAATCATCATCATATGCATCATCATCACCATCATCAGCATCGTCGTCATCAACATCATCAACACCACCACCAACATGGTCATCATCATCATCAGCAGCATCATCATCATCATCATCACCACCACCACCATCATCGTAAGCATCATCAGTATCATCGTCATCACCATCGGCGTCGTCATCAACATCATCGTCATCACCACCACCATCACCACCATAATCATCATCAGCAGCAGAAGCAGCAACAGTATCAGCATCAGCATCAGCATCAGTACCATCATCATCATCATCACCACCATCATCATCATCAGCATCATCATCATCATCCTCATTATCCTCAGAATCATCATCCTCGTGTGAATCCGCGTCCGACTCCTCATCATCATCTTCCTCTTGCTCTTCCTCTTCATGTTTTTCCTAATCCTCCAACTCCTCCTCCTCCTCTTATTTCTCGTCCCTCCCAGTCCTCGTCATCATCATTCATTGTACTCATCATCCTATTTATCTTCATCCTGTCGTTATGCGCTTGCTCATCATCATCATCATCATCATCATCATCATCATCATCAGCAGCAGCAGCAGCAGCAGCAATAGTATCATCATAATCATCATCATCATCAGCAGCAGCATCATCATCAGCATCATCACAACCATCATCAGCAGCAGCAGCAGCATCAGGGGCAGCAGCACCACCATCATCATCATCATCCTCATCATCAGCATCATCACCACCATAACAATCAATATCACCACCGCCGTCATCATCAGCATCAGCATCACCATCACCATCATCAGCATCATCATCAGTATCATCATCGTCGCGATCGTCGTCGTCCTCCTCCTTCTCGTTCTCTCGTCCTCTTCCTCGTCCTCGTCCTCGTCGTTATCGTTGTCGTCATCATCGCCATCGTCATCGTCGTCGTCGTCATCGCCGTCATCTACTTCCTGCCCATGCTCCATCACCTCCATATCAGTCGAATCCACGTCGACGCTCCCCATCTGAATGAGCAGACTTACGAGAATGAAACGATTCATCCGATAGTAAAGACGCATCGCTTCAAAACCTTGCGATCAACACGCAGAATGGTTAAATGGGCGCTCTGTACGACCATATGGATCGACACTGTGCAGAGCTGCCAGACGCCCCGGTCGACCAAACCGACCTGCAATCGCTTCCGGGCCTCCTGGCGCGCGCGGGCGTTGCTGATTGGTTATCCCAGTCAGCGCTGGCAGCCTACGGAGCGCGTCGGCGCATCCGCGTCGGCTAGGTCCTCGGGGCAACCTGGGCTCCTACCGGCAGCTTGCTGACGGGCTGCCCCTTTGCCGCGTTCATCTAAGCAGTGCTCACACGGTCATGGGTGAACGGCAGGCTCTGTTGGCACATCCACGTGGAAGACTTCAAACTGTGGGCCAGGAAGGCTGCTGAGCTCGGAGGTGGGGCCGCCGTGAGCGTCCGCGCAAAGTTGCGCCTCACGGACACCTTCCAGGCGCTAACGCGACGGCGGCCAAACCGGGACAAGGGCCAGCAGTTTGCCAGCAGCCGAAGGTTGCAGCTTTAAGCTCGCCGAGCAGACGCCCAGCATAACTACAAGCCCGGCAAGGTTCCTGGTTCCGCGACCTCGTGGTGGAAGCTGTGGCCAGGAGCGGCAGCCGCGGCGGGGTCACCGCGAGCAAGACGCGGTGTTTGGTCGCTTCGCGCGCATCGGGCGCCTGCCGCTTCACTTCGGCCAACGTCCGGACCGCCGCGCGATGGGGGGTGCAGGACCGAATGTCGCGCGGCCACATCGATTGTCGTTGGCGTGGTGCTGCCGCGACTGCGGATGAACCCCAAGGCAGTCCGTCGCCAGCGGTTCCCCGCTGCCTTCTGCAGCGCGGCGGCGGGGGGCGGGGGCGATGACTGCCGGGCACAGTCGCGGAGCGGGCCCGATGGCTGCCGCGGCGCGCAGCAGGGCGGAGCGCCGGTTCGGGGACTGGAAGGGGGCACCCGCTGCGCCATCAGGCCAGAACCCAGAAGACCGCCCGCTGTTGGACACCAGCGCTGTCCTGCCCGAGGCCTGGGGCGCGCCCGGAGGCCTGGGCACTGGTGGCCCACCGTATGTACGGACTCTGCGCACGCGCGCACGGGTGTGGACAGATGGGCCACTCGGCGGCTACAGGCGGAAGGCGCCCTGGCGCTGGACGCCGCCGCCGCGCTGCGCGCGGCGCGCCGGCAGGCACATGGTCAACGAGTCGGTGGCCACGAAGCGGGGCAAGCTGGATCGGTGTCCAGACTGCGGAGCGTCGTGCGGAGACCAGCAGCACCGCGCCTCGGATGGTCCGCGGTGGGCCGAAGCCGGGCGCGAGGCGCTCACGACCAGGGACCTCTCGGCTGCTGCCATGCGGACCCGCCTGCCGCCGGGGGTCGCAGGCACCAGCGTGCTTCCGCTCGGCTTCCGCTCGGCCGTGCCTGCTGCCGCCGCCAGCGCCAGCGCCCCCGCGCCCGCACTCCCCGCGCCGCTCTCGCCCGCGGGAGCGGCGCGGTGCGGCGCCGAGCCCTGGACGGACGGCGCGCGCGTGCACCCGACAGACCCGATGGTGGCCCGCGCCAGGTGCGGTTTGCGCATGGAGGATGCCGCAGGCTCGCGGACCGTCCGCAGTGCCGGGGCCGGCGGGGCGCGGACTGCGCAGCGCGCCGAGCTCACGGGAGCCGCGCGTGCGCTCCGGGCCGCCCAGCAGCCGAGCGAGGCTGCCGCGGGCTCGTCGCGCGCTGGCTGGGGTCGCCCTGCGGGCTCGCCTGGCGGCCCGCCCAGCGCAGCTCGGCTGCGAGCCGCTCGCCCAACCCCGCCTTTCCCGTTCCCCCCCCCCCAATTCTGCCCTTCTTGCTCCTCTGCATCGCTGGATGGCGAAAACAGGTGAAGCTGCCTCATCTTGCCCGACCTCTTAGAAATGATGCTCCTTTAGAAAGCAAGACTGTGACCCTAACCAAGCGCGCGGCGCCACAGGAGCCGCACACAGAATGAAAGAACTGAGCACGTCGCACGGGCCGAACAATAACGGGGTCCCACGCCGGTACTTTCATCGATTGCGCACCGCTTCAGCGCCACAGGGATTATGTGAGAGCACGCCTACTTCATCCAATCGAGTGATCGACCAGCACGTGTGAGAATGTCGTCGACGGTGGGCGCGCCCTCTGGCAGCGTTACGTGGATCTGTCGCACGTCCTTGGAGACGAGGCCTCCAGAGCTCGCGCTGCGCAAAGAGCAGTACTTTCGCGCTCTGGCGCCACCACCGCGAGAAGCACATGTCTCTGGCCTAGACCGCGAAGCGCGGAATGCCGTCGTCTTCGAGCCCCATGTGGGAGACGTAGTTCAGGGTAACCCTCCAGAAGTCTCAGGAGGTCCCCAGGGGTCACTGTTTAGAGAGTGCTGGTGGGGTGGGCACACATGGGGGGGCCAGCCTGGGTGCAATAATGCTTTTTGAATTGCTGCAAAAGCGTCACACAAGGTGCACACGCTGTGCAAAGACTATGACGTAACGCTCGAACCTACGGAAATTGCCGCATGAGAGTGACATCCTCGCGCCTCGAGGATTCAAAATGCGTCTGGTTGACGCCAAAGGGCACCCTGGGGCTAAGCGGCTGGATGCTGGCTTGGCCGTGTCATGGTCTCTTGCTTCAGTCTTGACCTCGGCCCTGCCCTCAGCCCACATCCCCAATCCTGGCCTCGCATCCGTCTGGAAGTCTCCGGATGTCTCCAGATGTCCCCAGCTCTCTCCAGACAAAGCGAGCAGGAGGAAGAAGAGCAGAAGGAGCAAAAGGGGCAGGAGGACTAGAAACAGGACAAGAGCAAACCAGGATGCATCAACGATGCTGTAACATACCCTAGAAGCATTCCACCGTTGAAAGATAAGCGATCCAGCCCGACCTCGAAACTCTTCGAGACTGGAGCCCGAGCGACGCACTATCGAACAACAGCGGCCCACTTTACAAAAACATGCAATTACTGGCCGAACATACGTTGTCGTTCCCATCAACATGATCATCATTCAAACCGTCAGCATTATCTTCATCACCGTAATATTTCCCATCGTCCCCTTTCGCCTCCCCTTGGCGCATCCTCGATTTTGGTCTCGAACTTTCCAGTGATCGGGGCGGACACCTGGAACGTAGCCTGCAGGAGAAAGGCTGGTCCAGGAGGGAGGCTGGAGGCGGAAGGCAAGACGAGAGCTGCGAGAAGGGCGTTTGCTGCTAGGCAGCGAACAACTAGGCTGGTAATCAACAAATACGCCAACATCGAATGCATCTTGGTAGCGGAGGCAGCGCTTGCTCGGGTACCTGGTGGCCACTGGCACAATGCCTCTGGGCGAACTTCGCAGGGAAGACGAGCCGAGCCGCTCAGGCATCGAAGATATTCGACCAAAGAGGTTTGCTTATGCCATACGCCATGGAAAAGATTCGACCAAGGATTGGTGAAGAACATACCCCACGACGTGGACAGCCCTCGGAGCACCCCGCCCACTGGCACGCCGAGTGAAGTGCCGCACAGACCACCCCCCGGAGAGCGACGAGAAGGCTGACGGGGGATCGGAACCGTCGGGTTGCGATTCGTGCCGTCGCTCGGACGTCCATTTCCCGTGCTACTCCGCCTCCTCCTCCTCCTCCTCCCCCTCCTCCTCCTCCTCCTCCTCCTCCTCCTCCTCCTCCTCCTCCCTCCCTCCTCCTCCTCCTCCTCCTCCTCCTCCTCCTCCTCCTCCTGTGTGCTCGATGGTCCAGGATGGTCCTCGATGGTTCTCGCCGCAAAAAAATGCACACGTCCGAGCGATGCCAAGGATTGGAAAGCGGTCGGAGTCGCAATGCGTCCATTCCTCGACGGACCGATCGGGCGATAGAAAAGCCCACCCACCGATCTCACTGTCGATCTGCTGGCCTCCCTGTCCGCCGAGGGACCTTACCAACCGATCCATCGACATCGCTTCCCTCTCTGCACATCTACATCTATGTCGACCAACGACCTACCCATCCATACCAACAATAATGCAAATGCACGCAAATATTCGGGAACCGAACTCTATACACCGACGCTTTCTCCAGCCCTGCACTGAAAATCGAACAGGATAGCAGATCCTGGTGTATACGGGATCCTGGTGTATACATTTTTCGTTGTTTCCCCGGGAATACGGAGAAACAAATCCACCGACCCTGTCGGCGTGTGGAAGAGGCTGTTCCGTTTGACTCGTCATCGCGTCGTCGTCGCCGTCGCCGTCGCCGTCACCACTCCCTCTCTTTCCCTGGGCCCGTCGCCGCCCTCCCCTTTTCCTGGGCCCTCCTTTTTAAGCGCGCCAGCCAAAACGAAATTGAGCAATCGTAACTCAATCGAAAGAAGCCCCTTCCCGTTGATCCCTTCCCCGCCACGGGGGAGGGGGTCCCGGGGTGGGTCCCGGGAGGGCCCCGGGCCAGAATACTACCCCCCCCTGGGGGAGCCCGGGCCCCAAAAAAGTCCCAAGACAAGCCGAAAGTGCCCCAAGAGGCCCCCAAGACGGTCCAGGGGGATCCCGAATCACCGAACGATCGGTCCAAGACATCTTTACAGCCTCCAGACGGCCCAACAGGTCTGACGTCGTCGTCGTCCCCGTCGTCGTCGTCGTCATCATCATCATCATCATCATCACCACCACCACCACCACCACCACCACCATCATCATCATCATCATCACCATCATCACCACCACCACCACCACCACCACCGTCGTCGTCGTCGTCGTCGTCGTCGTCGTCGTCGTCGTCGTCGTCGTCGTCGTCGTCGTCGTCGTCGTCGTCGTCGCCGCCGCCGCCGCCGCCGCCGCCGCCGCCCGCCGCCGCCGCCGCCGCCGCGCCGCCGCCGCCGCCCGCCGCCGCCGCCGCCGCCGCCGCCGCCGCCGCCGCCGCCGCCGCCGTCGCCGTCGCCGTCGCCGTCGTCGTCGTCGTCCGTCGTCGTCGCGTCGTCGTCGTCGTCGTCGTCGTCGTCGTCGCGTCGTCGTCGTCGTCGTCGTCGTCGTCGTCGTCGTCGCCGCCGCCGCGCCGCCGCCGCCGCCGCCGCCGCCGCCGCCGCCGCCGCCGCCGCCGCCGCCGCCGCCGCCGCCGCCCGCCGCCGCCGCCGCCGCGCCGCCGCCGCCGCGCCGCCGCCGTCGGTCGTCGTCGTCGTCGTAGTCGTCGTCGTCGTCGTCGTCGTCGTCGTCGTCGTCGTCGTCGTCGTCGTCGTCGTCGTCGTCGTCGTCGTCGTCGTCGTCGTCGTCGTCGTCGTCGTCGTCGTCGGGCGGCGCGGCGGCCGCGGCGGCGGCGGCGGCGGCGGCGGCGGCGGCGGCGGCGGCGGCGGCGGCGGCGGCGGCGGCGGCGGCGGCGGCGGCGTCGTCGTCGTCGTCGTCGTCGTCGTCGTCGTCGTCGTCGTCGTCGTCGTCCCCCTTCAGGGTCGGCGACGCATCGGAAAGTCTTGGGATTGAAAAACAGTCCGTCACTGGCAATGATTGTGCTCCTGTTTCCGATGTGTATACAAATACAAATACATCTACATACATATATACATACATACATACATACATACATACATACATACATACATACATACATGCATGCATGCATGCATGCGTGCGTACATACATACATACATACATACATACATACATACATACATACGCACGCACATACATACATACATACATACATACATACATACATACATACATACATACATACATACATACAGTCATACAGTCATACATACATACATACATACATACATACATACATACATACATACATACATGCATGCATGCATGCATGCATACATACATACATACATACATACATACATACATACATACATACATACATACATACATACATACGTACATACATACATACATACATACATACATACATACATACATACATAAATACATACATACACACATACATACATACATACATACGTGTATGCATGCATACATACATACATACATACATACATACATACATACATGCATGCATGCATGCATGCATGCATGCATGCATGCATGCATGCATACGTACGTACGTACGTACGTACGTACGTACATGCATAAATACCTACATATACACGTATATACAGATATGTGTATACACATCGATAGATGCCTGCTATACATATATATATATATATACTCCAAAAGGTCCAAAAGGCATCAAGCCCACCACCAAGGCACGGTGGCAGGATGGGCGGAGGGCCACGACCCGCCTCACCGTGCCCCCTGGGCACGCTCAGGCGTGATGCAGTGTCGAGTGCTGCCTGGTTGGTCTTCTGCCTGTACTCCGCTGGGGGCGCCCCTCTACTCGCGGACCTCCGCGCGCACCACCACCCCTCCCGAGGCCACGATCCCTCGCAAAGAGAAACAACGGATCCGCGCCCCCGAGGCCACGGTCCCTGATGAAACCTGTGGATCCGCGCCCCGAGCTTCCAAGACGGCCCGTGCAGGCAACCGAGGACACCAAGATGGCCCAGGGCCTCGGAGACGGCACAAGATGGCCCCGAGGCGGCCAGGCCGGATACGGCAGCAAGACGGCCCAAGATGCCCCCAAGAGAGCCCAAAGGGGCCACAAGATGACCTCTCTAACAGGGTCTGAAGAAGCCAAAATCATGAATTCTCCTTTGGAGTTTGAAGGACTGTCGCATTCTCGCCTTTCCGGGCCTCCACCAGCTCAACGACGGCCGAAGAAGCCTACGCGGTTGCCGCAAGACGGCCCAGGAGGCCCCCAAGAGGGTCCAGTCCCAAAAGAGGCGGCCGAGGGGGCCGGTGGTAGATGGCGCAGCCCTTCAGGCATTATTTTCCGGAAGCGCCGTCGTCATTTTCAGGTATGGCGTTTGGTCACCCCTCCGCTTCGAGTGCTTCGCGTGGCGTTTGGCCACACCTTTGTGCCTCGAGCGTTTCGAGTGGCGTTTGGTTGCCAACGCGTCCACGGCAGGTTCGTGTCGTGGCGATTTCGGCGTTGGTTTTTGACACCGCGGGGATCGTTCAATCTTGAACGATCGGCAATCTACCAAACGTCCGATCGTTCAACATCGGCCGATTCTGAGTCGCCAGCGGCGCTCAGCCTTGAGCGCCCGTGCCGAGGTCGCCGCCGGTCGGCACGACGCGAACGTGCCGCACCTGGACGCAAAGCTTCTGTCTGCCTGTCGACTATTTGACGTTCTATGTTCAATGTAAAAAAAACCATCGGAAAAAATCCCTGGACAACCCCCGCGGACAAGCCGGACAACCCCTCCAATATTGATACAGTGAGCTTCCCAACATAGAATCGCGAGGACGTATCAGGCGAGACTGGCCGGACAACCACGCGCATGGCATCCATGAGCCGTAGTTGGGTACATGCCTCAGTTTGAGACTGGCCAATGACCTCCTCGAGACAGAGCACATCCGAGCCGAGAATTGCGAGATGGTTTTTCTCGTCCACTGTACTCCGCTTGGGGTTGCTTCTCCTCAGCAGCTACAGGTGATATGCGCGGACCCCCCTACAATGGGGAGAGAAGGGAGGGATGAGCGAGGAGGAATCGCCGAGAATCGCCGAGAATTGCGAGAATTGCCGAGAATTGCCGAGAATTGCGGATCGGCGGCGCCGGCATGCGCCGGCAAACCCGGCGCAGGGCGCGAGGCCCCGGCGGGGCCTTCGACGTGTCCGCCACGTCGCGGCCGCGGCTGCGGGAGCGCGGCGAGGGTGACCGAGGCCGTCGGCGAGACGCG